AATGAGTAACACTTAAATGAGTAACACTTAAATGAGTAACACTTAAATGAGTAACACTTAAATGAGTAACACTTAAATGAGTAACACTTAAATGAGTAACACTTAAATGAGTAACACTTAAATGAGTAACACTTAAATGAGTAATTTAGGCAACGAAATGAATTCATTATTTATTCAGCGTATGGCCGGCCAGCGAGCCCTGGCGTCAACAATTAGCAAATTACAACAGCAGCAATCCAAGGAAGGGATTAAAAGCAATTGATTGCACATTGTTCCTACAGAGGGAGGCTGTGTGACGAACGATAAGGGATCCAGATTGGATTAAATCTGAGAAAGATTACAAGATTATCAATATCCCAGTCGGGTATGGCGAAAAACGATCCTCAGCTTTAACTTGCATTTGAAAACAAAAACTTGGGCAATGTGTTTTCATTGGACAGAATTTTGGGGAAATATTCGCTGGAAAAGGTGAATGATAAGATTTTGCGTGTCTACCTCGGCAATTATTACAGAATTAAGATTAAAATTGCCATAAATGAGAACTCTCTCTATCAAATTCATTTTGATCTGGGGCAGTGTTGATAGAGTATGGTCATCGGAATTTCCAGCTTAAGTTTTTTTTTTTATTTGGTGCTCGATATGAGCACCCGTTTATGATGAATTCTTTCATCGTGGGTTAGCCGAGGAAGCGACAGACGTGAAACCGCTGCATTGTTACCGGTTTAATTAAAACGACACTCTCGTATGGAATGAACGTTTCAACATTGAGTCTACTTCGACTCGATGTTGAAAAGAGCAATATTGCGACTACATTGTCCGGTGAACGTTACATCGACAGACGTCAGGCGAGACATCTACCGAGACATGCGAACGAACAAAATTTCCCGATCCAGAAGTTTGATGGCGATAACTCACCCACGCAGCAAGTTACCTCATATATGCAATTGGCGGGCGTCTTCAGTACTTCTGAAACGGTAATTGACATATTAAACACAGACGATGCCGGGGAATGTATTCGACTTTCTCGATGTTGTTACGGAGCGTGCGTGTCCGGGAAATCACAGGCCATGTGCCAGGGAACAATAATACGAATTTATTAATTGCGTACACGTAGAATCAGGAGGACAGAAATGGGACGGCGAGGGAGAGAGGGAGAGAGTCTAGGACATGGCTCTCAACCTACCTTTTACACCCATTGAACCTTCATGCATTTTGGGGGATAACTCCTCCCAGGTTGAAGAACCATTGGTCTAGAAGATATCTCACCTTCTTCTCCCCTTCGCCAAGGACGGCCTCGCGAAGGACCCCTTTCTCGCCTCGCAAATCCATACAAATAATCGATCATTTACGGGATCGCCCTTCTCGCGCAGAGCTTCCCGGATCTCCAAGTATTTGCTCATGCACTGGGGACGACCGCTGTCCAAATTAGAGAATAGGGGGACTTTATACAGATCAAAGCAGAATTAAGAGGGAGGTCATCACGTTGACCTTACACCTGTGGCGTTCCAGCGGGCGCCACCTAGCGGCCACCGGAAGAACCGCGCGCTTCTTTTGGCTAAGCCGTGACAATATATTCGTCGAAAGTGCCGATGAAACTCAGCAAACCGCACAAAACCCAGGGTAGTTACGAGCAGGGAGACGGAGACACGTGAAAGTCCAAGCGGTCCCGTCCCTCCATCAGACCCTTCCGCCCTCCCTCGATGGAAAAAATCCTCGCAGAAGGATGCATGGAGTGAAAGTGCCTTATTCATTTCGAAAAGCCTGTTGAGACCTGTCTCGTAAACAGCCTGTTGAGACCTGTCTCGTAAACAGCCTGTTGAGACCTGTCTCGAAAAGCCTGTTGAGACCTGTCTCGTTTCAACGTTGGACCGTCGTGGAATTCGGTAATGCGTCGAGGTTGAAAATAATGGTTTTTCAATATGGACTCAACATTGTTAAGCAGATGTTGAATCGATTGAACATTGAATCGATGTTGATATACTGTTGATGTCAACGTTGCCTCGAGGTCGATGAAAATCAACTTTCAATATGGAATCAGGGACAGTCGTTTCAACACCGGCCGCGTTGACGTTAAACGTTGAATCAATGCTGACTCGCCGAGGGTGTGCTACTTGGGGGGGAAACTCGCTCTCATCTCGTGTTCTTTTCCATCAGACATAAATAGTCGCAATAGTCATGGTGTGAGGGAAACTGAAGGACGTCAGAAAAATTCAATACAAACCAAATGCGAGCGCTGCGCCCGGGTAGCCATATTACCCTCAACGGTTGGAGTAACATGGCCACTTAAAAAAATATTATGATATCTTATTTCATTTTGCCAGTGTTGTATTTCTGTTATCAGATATAAAATGGCATCATTATCTCTTGAGAAAATAAAATATTTATTGCAGATTTTGACATTTATGGAGTTCTGGAGGTT